TTATATAAAATTTGTGTAGTTTTTTGTTAAAAATATTGCAGTTTTTTACGAGTTTGTGTAGTTTTTTTAACACTCAATTATTCACAGGTACCGTACGAGGTTGAGAATGCAATGAGTATGCAAGAAATTGAAAGGAGATTCAGAATTTGAGATAAAATGATTCGTATTTTTTCAAATTGTGTGTTTAATTGAATTCGTAGTATGTAATTGTTAAACTTTGAACATTTACAGTTATAGTATGTAATCGATAAACTTTCAACATATACTATTAGTCTATTATGGTTTGTAATCGTTAAACAATATTTGTAACAATTATTCCGTATAATTTGTATTCTTGTTTATTTATTTAGTGTTTTGACTATGTTTTATTTTTTATTTCTAAATAATAAAATTTTAATATTTTAGGAAGCGGGTACCCGGAACCGGTTCCTGGCGGGTACCTGGAACCGGTTCTTGTTTATTTATTTAGTGTTTTGACAATGTTTTATTTTTTATTTCTAAATAATTAAATTTTAATATTTTAGGAAGCGGTTCCAAAAATTTAAGAACCGCTCTAACCGGTTCCGGTTACGATATCTCAATAACTGCCGATTTCAGTTCCGGTTACTATCAAATGGAACGGGTATCCGCCTATACTCACCCCTAAACACGACTACATTTCGAAACTCCATCCTTAACTTTCGTGAATAATGATAACGTGACGAAATGAATCACAATAATGGCACCCATTAAAAACCATACGTACCAATGTCCAATTTACCCTTAGTAATTAAATATCCACTTTACTTATAACACATTAATTTCCCAAAATTGTACATATTTTCAAAACACAAATTTCGTATTTGACAATCTAATTACCAGGGGTAGAGTTGGTATTTTACCAAAAAAAAATCCGTGTATCAATCAGTTACGTAAAATCTTATACCATATACCAGATAATTATTGTCATCAGTATCAACTTTTTTTTTATTAGTACATGTTGGTATTGTTTCTGTACCAGCTTCAAGTTACTTATATGAAAACTTGTGATTATGTTCGAATTGTGAGTTTTCAGGTCACATGTGATGTTTAAGGGTTTTAGCTGCAAGAAGCAAAACTTGCAAGTATTAAATTATTCAAAACAAATGAGGTTTATCGGGTTGAAGACGTTTGAACAATTCAACCCAATGCTTGCGGTTTGAAAAATCTTAACTCAACCCAACCCAAACCAAAGTACAACCCAATCCAACCTAACCCGTACAGGTTGGTCGAGTTGATACTTTAGTACATTAAAATATTTTTCTAACCTTGAATATGTTGTTTCTCTACATAATTTGTTTTTCATCATCAACCATTTGATATAACTTATCCATACTTCTTACGTATATCACATTCAGTTAATTTTCTCAATTTATATATATATGTTCCCAGTTATTGAACATATATACGAATGAATTATATAGATATATGAATAAATTGAGAATATGTGTACGTGAAGAGCATACATGATAATGTAATTGTTAATGCATATATTAATAGAAATTCAACAATCATATTAAATCCAAGAAATAAAAAGATCCAGGTTCATCGGGTTGGGTTGTGCTCAAATAATAGTAACTCAATTTCAACCCAATACCTATGGTTTGACAATTTTACAACTCAATTAAATATCGGGTTACTTCGGGTTGGGTTATTTCGCATTGGATTGAGTTGGGTTGATCGTGTTGACGAGCACCCCTACTTGGTATGATACTACCAACCGATGATAATTGGTATCAATTAAGTTGTCTACATCCAAAAAATAAGTGTCGACACTAATTTCTATTTATAATTGTTCTAAAAAAGTGTTTAGTTTCAGATTTGTATTTTGGTAAACACACTGACTGCTGACCGAGTCAGATATGCTGACCGAGTCAGATATGCTGACCGAGTCAGATATGCTGACCGAGTCAGATATGCTGACCGAGTCAGTCCGGTCAGTAGGTAGTAAACAGCCCCTAAGTTACCAAATCTACGGTTAACAAATGCACATATATTTAAGAGTTACTAGAAAGGTACGCGCACAATGCAACGAGATATATCTCGATTTGAATGTTTTATTTTATTTTTTGTCTCTGTCGATGTTATAATACGATTTTATGTGTTTTTAAGAAAGCGATAATGATTTTATTTTTGAATAAGATAAAAATTTGAAAAAAATAATATCAATGTTTGTATAAAATTAACTATTTAAAAGTTCTCATTTTTTGTGTAATTTTTTTAATTTTATTTTTTATTATAATTAAATTTAAGTTTAATAACGAAGTAATTTATTTTTGGTTTTGGTTTAATAATATAACATTTTATAAAGATAATAATTACGTATTATGTTAGAACTCAATAATTATCCTAATTATATTTTATATTTTTTATATTTAAAATGAGATTTTATCTTGTATTTGATTATGTTTATTTGCAGTTAGTTACACGAATTCAAACATAGAGTTTTAAAAAATTGTTCTTGGGCACAATCTATTTGTAATCTTGAATTTTAAGTAACATCCATAAATATTAAGTAATTTATGCATAAAAAGTGATTTTTAAGAGTTTTTCTCAATTGTTTTATAATATAGTATAGATGGAGATATATATATATATAGGGGCCTAATCAAATGAGAACTAATTAGTTTGTGGTAACTGTGAGAACCAATATTAACCACAAATCAATAGATAAATTAGGAAATTTATAATTTTGGCAATTTTGAATTAAAATATTAATRCAMNDATATTTTTGGTATTTTAAAACTTTCCTCCCTCCTCTCTTCTCTCTCCGGCCACCGTCTTTTGGGCACCGTCATCCGGTGATACAACAATGGTATCACAATGCATCATATATGTGCTTGGGTATCACATTGATGTCGTTTGTGTGGTCGATAGAAAATGTAACACAGTGGTATCACTATGCATCTTATATATGATTAGGTATCACAATGTATCTTTTGTTTAACAGAGTCAATATTTTTAGGTATCACAGTGGTATCACAGTGGTATCATAGTGGTATCACCGGAGGACAGTGGCCGGATGCCGGAGAACGGTGGCCGGAGAGAGAACAGAGGAGAGAGAAGAGTTTTAAAATACCAAAAATATCCTTGCATTAAAATTTTAATTTAAAATTACCAAATTTATAAATTTCCTAATTTATCTATTGATTTGTGGTTAAAATTGGTTCTCACAGTTACCACAAACAACTCAGTTCTCCCTTGAATAGGCCCCTATATATATATATATATATATATATATATATATATATATTAAATAAGGGTAAGATTGTTATTTGGTTAATTAAAAAGTATAATAATTATGCATGTTCTGTATATCATTTCTATTGTGGACACTTATATTGAAGCAGAGGGAGTATTTGTAAATAGTAGACGACTAAGGACAATTCTCTCTCTCAAGTTGTCACTAACTATGTGACTCAGAGACCGTTTATCAAACACTTACCCGTTTAACATTTACCGACATGAACTTATCTTATTGTGTAACATTTTCAGCCATCAGAATTAATTGTTGGTAAACATCTTAAACCCGATAAATATAATAATAATAATAATTATTATTTTTGGGTCTTAAATTAAAATAATTGGTTGCCAATTTTATACGTTAAAATGGTTTTATAATATTCCTCCCTTCTAAAACAAATGAATATAATAATAAAAAGAACGATAAAAAAGGGGAAGATTGATGGTAGGAGTCAAAAGACGGTGATGAACGGTGATAGAAAGCGGACGACAATGGCACGACGCTGAGGAGTGATGGTGTTGGATGCGAGTGATAAGAATGACACTGATTTAGGGTTTTTTTTTTTACTTTAAAATCTTCCTATCTGATGATTACATGTTTGTTTTTTGTATCAGATAAATACAGATAGTCAGATAGATACAGGTAACCAATTTTCTAAAAGTACAATTGTTTATTTTATTAGAAAATATTCAAAAAATTACTAATTTAAAATAAAAAAGATTAATGATTTATCTATACTATATTATAAAATATTTGATAAAAACTCTTAAAAACTATTTTTTATGCATGAAGTATTGTATATTGATGCATATTACTTAAAATTTCAAGATTATAAGTAAATTATGCACAAGTACAACTTATTAAAGCTATATGTTTGAATTCGTGTAACTAACTGCGGATAAACATAATCAAATAGAGAATAAACATCTCATTTTAAAATATTAAAAAATCTAAAATATAATTAGGATAATTGTCAAGTTTTAACAAAATAATTAATTATTATATTTATAAGAAAATTATATTATTAAACCAAATACAAATTACTTCGTTATTGAACCTAAATTAAATTATAATAAAAAATCGAATTACAAATAAATAATTTTAAATAGTCAATTTGATACTAATATCGATATATTTTTGTCAAATTTTTATGATATCTTTAAATTTATATTTTATCAAAAATAAAAACATCACCGTTTTTTTCAAAATAACATAAGACCATATTATAACATCAACTGAGATAAAAAATACAATGAAATATTAAAATCAAGATGTATCTTGCTGCATTGCATGAATATCCATCTAGTTTATCAAAAAAAAATCATTGAAAATAAGAAAATCTCGTTGGATTTTTGTTAACTTTTCCTTATATATATTAAGTTGTTTGAACAAATAGCCCAATTAAATAATGGGTTAAGCCCAATTAAATAATGGGTTAAGCCCAGTTCATTTTGGCCGTTGCCTTCTGAACAAATAGCCCATCAAATAATGGGTTAAGCCCAGTTCATTTTGGCCTTAATGGGCCGAGCCCAAAAGCCCTGGACAGAAGTTCATGATCGTCGTTTATTTGGTGTACTTTCGAACACGAGTACACGACAACCTCGTAAGACGCTAAATACTCGAAGATCGACCACACCATCATTCAAATTTAGTTTCAAAAACATTACCCAAATTTAGTTTCAAATTTTCTGAATCGAAAAGATTTGCTGTCCTTGATTTCAGTTTCTGAATCTTCACTCTGATCGAGTTGTTGTAGTTGAAAATGAGATTAAGAAGACATCAAAGTCGATCGATTTCACCAAAATGTTTGATTTTCTCTTGTTTAATCTTCACCCTTTTAGGATTTTTGCTACTTACCTTCATCTCCGGCGGCGATCCCGTCATTCCGCCGCCACCGGAGCTGAAAAATGCGACGGTAAGGAGGTCTGCGACCACCTGCGCGACGGTGGAGGATATGGGAAACGAAGCTGTTGATCCTTTTGGCGGTGGCGATTCATGGAAAGAGAGCCTCAGAGTTCGCAGATTGATTAGAAATCATTTCGAGTTGCAGGGTATGAAAGATTTGGTTTCTTGCCCCTTTTTAGATTTATTGCAAATTTTCATTTTGTAGTCAACCATGAATCAATCTTAGATTCTTTGAGTTTAGTTGGTAAAGGGGCGGGCCGACTTAGGGGTGGGGCGACTATGTTCAAATAAACAAGTTTGAAGTTCGATTCCAGTAGATGGGCTTGAACCAGCTCTGAGATGCTCCTCACATCTGGTTCCCAGGGGGCGGTCTGTAGCTTAGTTGGTAAAGGGGCTGAACGACTTTGCTCAAATGCATAACAGGTTCAAGTTCGAATAGTGCAGGGGTGGGCTTGAACCCCTCCATTAGCCTAACCCTCTAAGTCAACTCTAAAATGCCTCATGACATGTGGTTCTTAGGGGGCGGGTTGTTGTGGTTCCTAGGGGGTGGGTTGTAGCTCAGTTGTCAAAGGGGCGAGCGACTTTTTGCTTAAATGCATAACAGGATCAAGTTAGAATCGTGCAGGAGGCGGGCTTGAATACCTCCGCTAGCATTAGCATTAATGGTTGAGTCAGCTCTCAAATGCCTCCTCACATGTGGTGGGGCGGGGTTGTAGCTCAGTTGGCAAAGGTACAGAGCGACTTTGCTCAACTACATATGAGGTTCAAGTTCGAATTGTGCTGGACACCAGCTTGAACCCCTCCGCTAGCATTAGTTGCAGAGTCAACTCTGAAATATATGGTTCATAAGGGGTGGGTTGTAGCTTTGTTGGCAAAGGGGCGGAGTGACTTTGCTCAAATACATAACAGGCTCAAGTTAGAATCGTGTAGGAGGCGGGCTTGAACCCCTCCTTTAGTATTAGCCGTTTAGTCGACTCTGAAATGCCTCCATTACAATGGTTAATCTACAGTACAACAAAATTGGCTTTATAGGACGTGGAATATGTCTAAATGTACTAACAGACTGCTTTATAGGACTTAAGTTAATGACACCAAACAACTGTACGACCTATATAAAGATGTTACAACAGGTTGTTAGGACGTCTATTAGGACACTTGGGGCCTGTTTGTTAGCAGGTTAATGAGCTTACTGAGAGTGAGACTCGCTGCTTATTCGGTCAGTTATACATTATTTTTTGGTAGTGGCTTAATGATACAAAATGTGACTTATTCAGTAAACTTCTAGGAGGGAGGTTTATGCAGAAAGCCAAACTTTTTCCAAACCTACCCTCCCAATTAAAAAACACGATCCTTCCATCTATAAAAAGAACCCTTCCAAACAAAAACCTTTTCATTATATATAGACAAATTAATCCATGTAGACAACTTTATCCAGGACGTGATGAAAAGCCAACCATACAATCCCTTAGACATAACATTACATTCTACAAAACCGATTTTGTTGTATTGTATGCTATGCAAGAAACCATCATATATCTCCATCAAATCGACAGTCTTTATTGATTGGTTTTTTTTTTTTCGTATTCTAGGAGCTTCTAGAGTTCGTGGGCTATCTTCCGACGAATTCTGCAAGCAAGGTTTCGTAATGGGCAAAGCTTCGGAGGCCGGATTTGGGAACGAAATGTACAAGATCGTTACAGCAACGGCCCTTAGCGTCATGCTAAATCGTTCGCTAATTATCGGGCAAACCAGGCATTTTGGTTCTTTCTTTTTCTCGATCTTTATCTATTATGAATGAATTGTATGTTTTTAGCATCGAAATCACAAATGCTTACTTCTCGATTCGTGTTTATTAGGGGCAAGTATCCATTCGGAGACTATATAGCATATGCCAATTTCTCGTTCACTTTAAAAGAAGTGAAGCATCTATGGAGAAAGAACGATTGTATCGGAAAGTACGGGCGGCATCTCGTTATGAGGGTCGATGATTTCGAGAAACCTTTGGAAACAAACGTTCTTTGTGGTAACTGGAGGAAATGGAAGCATCCGATCATATGGTAACCGTTAGGATCAATAATCACACAAGAAAATTGCAAAAAACGTAATTGGTCTTGCTTTTTTGCTTTTGTTTTGCAAGCCGGGGGTCTTCACGGAAACAATCTCTCTACCTTGCCGGATAGAGGTAAAGTCTGCGTACATCCTACCCCCAGAACCTACATCCGTGTGGGATATAGGGTTATTTAGGACAATATCCTTCTTACAAATTTGGGGATAACCGCAAAAATGAAAAACCGAGGAACACCCCGGTAACCATTCATCTGTACGGTATGCACATATGCATGCAAGTAATTTGTACGATAAGCAAATGTGCATAGAAACTAGGAAACATCTTCAATTACGTGTATGCACATGTGCATAACGTACAGATGAATGGTTAATGGAATATCCCTATAAAATGGGTTCGTTTGGTTTGGTTTGGTTTGGTTTGGTT